GCGTCAATTGTTGCGCTTAAGTAAATTTTATACCATTCTACAGTGTAAAACTAAACAAAATGAACGTAAAAATATACATAAAAGAGAAAAAAGAGGAACTACTCATTGGTTGTCACTTCTACATATTAGTATTAATCACTTTCATTGTTATGCAATGTCACTTAGGAGGTCGCGAGGGGATTGACGCTTCCGCCGTCAGGGAGGGTTATTTAGAAGGGTGCGCGATGAAAGGTTTTTGACTTGAGGGTTTGTGTGACAGGATAATTGTTTGTGAAACTTCTTGCAGTGGTTCCCTTCTTCAAGGATATATTGGATGTTAATAGCCATGAGGAGACATAATCAAGGATTTTTCGTAGGATTAAAGATTGGGTATTTTGGATGCGGAGGATGTTGGAAGCGGTAAATCTGAACGCGGGTCAAGAAGTCGTGCAAGAGTCGTTTCATGTCATAAGCATACCTTATGTTTCAGTCGTAGAGAGGATTCCGAGTCGTTTGTCGATGTTCAGTCCTAGGTACCGCCATTTATCCGTAGTTGGGAGGGGAATATTGTTTAACTAGACTGGAAGGGAGATCTTTTTATGGAGCGTGAAGGTAATGCGGGTGGATTTGTCCGTGTGAAATTTTATTCTTTTCTTTAAACACGACGTAGGTGTTGTTAGAGGTGAGTGGAAATGACAGGATCGGAGTAGTTAGATTGCTGTACATTGTAGAGAGAATTGAATACGTAAAAATACGCCAACGAGGCGCTTCGTTATGTTAAACCTGCAAGACTGATCCGTCGTGTAGGATTTTAATCTACCCATGCGCTATACTAAGAAATTTTTTATACTTCGGATTTTCTTGGAATCTGTAAAATCCATAGAAAATGTTATATTTTTATGGATGGACAAAATTTAACGAACCGTGATGCTAAAATATGTTTGACACACTTTTCTACCACATATAACTTTAATAAATTGTGTTTCTTACGCTTTTGTCTGCGACCGTAATTTTTACAATATGCTTTATAATACAACTTCTATGGTACGGAGGAAACTCAGGTTAAGGGAAAGGGACAGCTTATTGGCCAATGTTTCCGCAGTAATATTCCACCTCTAGTACCACCAGTTACGTCATGACGTAGAAATGTGTAGAGATTAGTGACCGTTAATCTATAGTTATTCAGATATCGTGAGATGCGGTCGGGAGTGATGTAGGTTTCAGAAAAACATTTTCTTTATCGTGCCAACGTTTCGATCTTTATTGAGATCATCTTCAGGGCTCAAAGTGTTTGTCTTCTGTGTAATTGNTTACACAGAAGACAAACACTTTGAGCCCTGAAGATGATCTCAATAAAAGATCGAAACGTTGGCACGATAAAGAAAATGTTTTTCTGAAACCTACATCACTCCCGACCGCATCTCACGATATCTGAATAACTAGTCATGACGTAGATTACATCAAATATTTCTGTGTAAGTAAGGCCAACTTATTTTTTTAAATTTAGAAAAGAAATGATAAACTTCAATTCGGAGACAAATTATAATTCCCTTTGTTAGCTATGCAACCTTTAATGTCAATGAAATTGTACTGCATTTACTAGCGAATGTCTTATCCTGGCAGAATTTTGCTTAATTAATTACAACTAGAGATCTTTCTACCATGACCAGTGTGTAGCCATTTTAAATGGAGACAATTGGGATGTTTTTTAAATTTTATACCATTAAAGATTTAAAATATAGACAATTTTTGACTTAAATTATTGTTTCATTTTATTTAAAAAATATTATTTTGCTTAATTTTAATGTCTTCCATATTTTTAAATTACTTTTGTTTTCGTATTTATTTGTTTTTGTAACCTCGACAGACAGACACTAGAACATTGTTATTATTCTTGTTTTTCTCTTTTTGTGTTTTATGTTTTTTTATAGTAAAATAAAACATTATTATTATTGTTATTTTCAATTTAGAAATGGTGTTCAGTTTAGCTAAATAACGAGTTATGGAGAGGGTTCCCGAAATGCATAAGCAACTGAAATATATTTTATAAAAATAAATTGGTGTGTTTAGTTTAAAAATAACCCCCATTCTAGATTTAAAATATTTTTACCACCAAATTAAGTTAAAATTACTGCATCTGCTCTTTTAGCTCGACAACCCCCGGGCCGCTTCGTCGCTTCCTTTTTTTTCGTTGCCCACTCATCTCCTCGCGAAAAGCTACCTGCCTGGGGTTGGTAAGCGGAATCCTCGCTAGTTCTGTATTATCATAGTTTTTTAAATAAGTAAAAAGGAGCAACTTCAAATAAATAAGCTCAAAAACCGCCGCGCATCTCGAGTTTTGATAGGGTTGCTACAAAAAAATAACTTACACTACTCAAGCTCTTGTCGAAAACAATGTTTTCAAGAAATTCAGTATTTTTCGTGGTCCGCTTGACCAATTAATATAATTCAATTAATTAAGGTTTTAAGTTGAGATAAAAAAGTCAGTGTCAAGAGCGGGATTCGAACCCACGACCTTCGGCTTGATACACCGCTACTCGATCACTTGAGCTACGTGACTTCGATCCCCTCGGACACTAACTTCCCATCTCAACCGCACCTAGATAGGTAGAGTAGCGGCGTATCAAGTCGAAGGTCGTGGGTTCCAATCCCGCTCGTGACACTGACTTTTTTATCTCAACTTAAAACCTTAATTAATTGAATATTTTCAATGTTCATCTTTGTCGTACATCTGACTACATATAATTGTCTATCTGTAAATATTGTGTTGTTGAATTTGTAATCAAACCTATTTTCTCTAAACTTTGTCCTTGTGACTTTTGTCGTAACAAATGCTAGATGGTGTGGGGATTGAAAATGTTAAAAACGGCATTTCACTAACTCCTCGTGTGTATAAATATATATCGGATGTGCACAACATCTCCATTTTTATTCCCAGATAATATTGCGCAGTGTAGAATCTTCCTATCAGGCTTTTTTACTATCAAACGGGCCCCGTTACACAAACCATTTCATACCTATAAATTCATCAATGGTATAGCAACAATACGTCTGATTTTAAGTGCAGTTCTGTAGAAGTAAATCCGAAGGTGTCATTGATTGAAAATATTCAATGGGGTATTGCAAACTTATGTTCTCATAGCCGATTTTGTCACCAGCTGGTGACTCAGCATGATGTATGAAAACACGCTTAACAATTTCCCCTGGAAGTCGTTTCAAAATAACATGAATGATTTTATTTCACTTCCCCATTCTAGCTGTTTTTTTAAAATTGTATATTACAATTACCTGCATTTTGGTATCTAGTAATAATGTATGAATAACTATTAAGAAAAACAAGAGTGGAGAAACTACCCACCGTTGGTACTCCTAACTATTCTTTATTCAATTGTCACTGGATAGAAGATCCCGTGGCCATCGTCTTTTTAGTCGGCGAAGAGGGTTGGAAGGAATTCGTCGGGATGAGAGGATTTGAATTTGAGGATTTATAGTGGTTGGGAGGTTTGTGAAAAATTTTTGGTAACGGGAGTGCGTTACATCTTGGACAAAAGGAATATCTAGGTCTTTGTGGGTAGTGTCGTTGGACACATAAAAGGGAGCATTAAGGATTTTTCTGAGGATGATGGATTGGGCTCTTTGGATGCGTAGGATATTGGAATGTTTGGCTGAACCCCACACTTCCAGTCCATAAGTCCATATTGGCTTCACAAGGGTGATATAAAGTAGTCTTTTGTTTAAGAGAGGTAGGTTAGAACGTCTGTCAAGAAGTCGTGAAAGTGCTCTGTAACGTTTCATAACTTCTTGTCGTTTCAGTCGTGTGTGGGGATTCCACGTCAGACGTTTGTCAATGTATAGTCCTAGGTAACGCACCTTGTCCGCAATTGGGAGGGGTATTTGATTGAAGTAGACTGGAGGAGGGATCTTTTTGTGGAGGGTGAAAGTTATGTGGGTGGATTTTTCTGGGTTGAATTTGAGTCTTTTTTTTACACAATGATTCCAGTAGTGTGAGGTGTTCTTGAACGTTTCGATTGGAAATGACTGGATCAGAATTGCTTGAGAGGATCGCTGTATCGTCTGCAAAGGTTAGAGTGGTAGTTTGAGGATGGGATGAGAAGTCTGCCGTGTACACTTGGTACAGTACGGGCGCCAGAACACTGCCCTGCGGAACACCAGCAAGGAGAAGGTGGTTTGGGGAAGACGCCGATCCTTCAATGACTCGGAAGTACCGATCAGTGAGGTAGCTAGGCTAGCTGGTAATGTAGCTCTTACTCATAAGTCCTTTTCTCTCTCACAATTCAAAACTTTTTTTATATTACAGATAGGTAATACTACTCTAAGAGAATGTAAGTTTTTATAGTTTACCCTAATTCCAATTCCTCGCAAGTAGCACAATTTGACGTTATTCGCTGGTTCCGTCGAAGGGAGCCATACCAAACTGGTGCTTCGCCTTCGCTTATTTGCTCAGTTTCACGGATCGTGGGTTGGTAAAATTCACCGACGTTCTCAAATAATGAAAGTATACACCATTTTGCTCAAATGTAGGTAGCATTATTTTTCCCACGCAAAATGATGAACAAAACAACAAAAATGCGCACCTGCGTAAATTCCATAAAGCTATTATTACTTTTTTATTTAACAAACTGCTAAAATACACTCTTTTACTTTTGCACACTCTTCTATCACAGTTCAAACTTTAACAAATTGTGTTCCTTGTGCTTTTATCTGCGACCGGTAAGTTTTACAATATGCTCTGTAATACAACTCTAAACGAATGTAAGTTTTTATAGTTTAATCTAATTCCAATTTTACGCAAGTAGCTCACATTGACACGTTATTCACTGGGCTTAAAGAATTTAATTATAAACAATTGGGATATTTTTAATCCTTCAGAAAGCCAGAAAACTTTTTTTTTAGTTTAAATAATGTTTGATTATGAAGACGACAGTATGAAAAGAAGCCCCGATTGACGTTTTTACATTAGATACTGACTATTATAAGCTATCCACAACGTTTTCCTTCTTTAAACAGAAGAACGTTTTTCGAGAAAGCAGATTAAATTGTCTCTTATCAGAAATCAAATGCATACATCAGTGGCTATGTTATAATCCCATTAAATGTTTTTGTTTGTTTTTAACATTCAATTTAATTTTTTTTTTCACAAACAGGAGTAGCTGTTTTTCAAATCAGATTCTGTGACAGTCTGAAAACTGACAAACAAAGAGGGCTTTAGCCGTGCCAGTTTTCGTTGTTGAGCATCGATAGAAAACTAGCATGATTTATAAGGTAGACTTTTTTACTTGGCACAATTTTTTCGTTTTATTTCAATAATTTTCAATCATTGACCTGTAAATTAGTTATGTTCATACCATATGTTTTGTCCATCGATCAACAAATTTGAACAAAATAAAAATGTTTATTAGCACTACGCAGTTGATTAAAAATCCTAAAAATTTTAACTATAAAACAAATTTATGTGTATGATATATTGATTGAAAGGAATTATGGGAAACAGGTTGATGGGTGCACATAAGAAGCCACCGAGACACAAAAAAACGATGAAGGAGAGAAAAGAAATCTGTTTTGAACTTATTCTAGATTATTGTACGTGCAGAAGGTGTGATCGGACCGAACCTACGATCGAGATCAGACCGTCCAGGCAATTAGACGTCGAACCAATCATCATCGCTAGAACACCATCGCGTATATTCGAAGAGACTCGGTCGATATGAGAGTTCCGATCAAATCCGAGGTAAGGCCAGTTCTAAACGCCAAAATTGAGAAGAGTGTGATGATGAGACGGTCGTTTTCTTCTGGGATTCAGAGGACAAAGGCAAAAATCATATTCTGAAAAAGTAGGACAGTGTGAAAGCTGTGAACATTTGAGGAGCACTTCATCCGGCTCTATTCATTTTTCAAAATCGAATCGTGGATGTGGATATCTTTTTTCTTGTCCCCTCTTTGAGAGGGACTGATTTATTTATGCTCTGTTTGAAACACTGAAATTTTAATCTTAATAGGAACTAATAATAAAGTTGTATGAAAGTAAACTGTAAAAATTAAACCTTACTAAGTGTTCAATCATTTCATTTAAAACATGTGACAAAGGTATAAATAAGTCATAGATCATGACTTGTAAACCAGTAGATAATGATCGGGTCTGTTTGCTCGAAGTCATTTAACATTTTAACGCACTAAAATAGACATTTTTTAAAAAATGAATGCAAGTTTAATTGACCTGTCATTCTAGTCTACTTTGTGTAATCAAAATTAAAAATTTAAAATACAAAAATTAACTCGAAATCAGACTGACAGAATTGGTTCCTAATTTAGCCTCACTACATTAGAATCACACAATGAACTAAGTTATTCTGAAATTTTGCCCCAGTGGTGGTAATGTGCAGCTATATTTCTTTAAACATGCTATATTAACAAGATTATTTAGTAAAGCTTTTTAATTTGCAACCTATAAAGAAGAAGAAGATGCTTAATTTGTGTTTTATTCCAGTTTTCCGTTCAGAATAAAAACTTCAGATATATTTTGATAATTGAAGAATGATGTTTTTGTATGTGCACACACACACACACACACACACACACACACACACACACACACACACAAAATGGACGCTTCCATCCATTGATTTAGCCCCCAGTGGGACAAGCCAATTACTAAAAGAACAGCTGATAGTTAGAACGGGAAAGAAGTAATTTTTTAAGTATTGAATGCGCAGTGTCGTGTCTTGTGTCGACTTAATACCGTGTAGTCCTCGTCTTTTTTAAACAATAAAACGTCTTTTTTTGTGTTGCAAGTGGTTTCTAATACTCTATACCCCTCCCTCTATATGTTATAAATTATGGTGTTCCTTTGTGTAGGTTAAAATGTAAAAACCACGAGCGGGTGGTATATGTGTGGCACATAATAAACAGACTACTTATACAGAATAGAGTGGTGGCCGGAGCAAGTGGGTCCTCAGCTGGGTAATGTAAGAGGTCCCTAAAGGGCAGTGATTCTCTTTGTACGACCCTGTACATCTCTCTGTTATGCACGCCTACCGGAGCCCATTGTTGGTTTATATCCAAGAATAAATTTTTTTATCCTTCTCTAAATCTCTGAATGGTATTTAACGTGGGCGATCAATCTTAACGACCCACGGGGTAAAGCTAATCGATCAATGAGAGGACATGACATTCCATATTAAGTACTTCAGTCCATTTAATGTGGACCACTGCTTCCGGCCTAAAGTCGGCGTTGCAAGACCTACAAAGCTTATGTTTACAATGGAACAATCAAAGTGTTAGGATTTTAATTTACTTACGTATAACTTAATTTTTACTTTAAAAAAGACCACCATTACCAGCCAGTTTTTCATTTTGTTCTAAATACCTGCTTATAAGCAGGCAAATTTAATATAGGAGGTTGACTAATATGTCCGTTTTTGCTATATAGTTAAAAAGGATTACCCATTACAATTTAAATATTTAAAATCTGTTATAAACACCCAATAATTCTGTATTAATTAATCGAGTTTCTTTCCGAGTAGACTCTTCCTCATTTCAGTTTTATTTTAAACATAGCTAGGGATAGGGATAGGGATAAAAGAAGTGGGTACAAGGCCTTCTGCACCTTGACCTGAGTCTATCTATTGTACTCCTCTGTGTTTTATAACTCACTGGTCAGCTTCAGGTTGTTAATCAACCTCCATAGTCTTGCCAACAGCTTGTTAGTGTAGGATCTTACTTGCGGTGTTTCATCTTCTTGTTGCTGGAATGTGAACTTACAAAGACGTTCAGAAAAACAAAACGTGTTCTGCGGTCTCCTACTCTTCCTGGAAGTATCTGCATAATGTTTCTACTGTCTGTACTCCTCCTATTCGGTGGTCCGCGAGCCTTACTAGGTGGCCTGTCAGGATTCCAACCAGTATCAGAACCAAGAGTTGGGGTTAGCGAGGGAAATTAGTTATGAACCCAATTGTCGTTTCAGTCAGCTTTACTGCCATAATATACTGCCAAAATTGCAAGTTAATCTTCACCAGGTTGTAATTAAAGTATTTTTCGTGGTTTGAGAAGTTTTCTCGAGAAGCTACGTCCTATGAGAATAATCCCGCGGAAGACTCAACAGCATTCGATCGATGTCAAACTTTTTAAGGAGGCCGTGAAAAGAATCTCTATCGTACCGTGAGGGAACGTCCCGTTGTCATGATCGCTACGCTTGAGAACATGCGTGATTGTAGTGGCCAGTAACCGATATCGTGGAGGCAGCGTCAGACAATGATATGAAATATGAACATCATCAGACTGAATTTATACTATCAAATAGTAAACAAGTGTAAACAAAGGACTTATAAAATTGATTAATTTTAAGGAATACATTGATTTTGTCCTTTTATAAATCCAGGGACATAATGTATACACTGACAGGCAAAAAATCCACCAAACTGATTTTTTTCATTTTCTCGATAAAAGAAAATTCTGTTCTTAATTTGTCTCATTGTTTTTATCAATAAATATTTGTTTACGCTACGTTTTAAAATGGAAATATCAATTAGACGTAAACAAATTTAATCCTTAATACAAAACAAGGATAAAGGATTTTTCAATGTTTAATTTTTACGGAATTTAAAATGGATATTCAGTCTAATTTGAATTCCGAAGCAATAAACTGTTTAGTTTCATCTTTGTTTTATTAATTTCAATTTTCAAACTTAAAAATGCCACTTAGGATGTTGCGCATGGTGTGGCACTTATTGATGATGGACGTTCCATCATGTAGGCGGCTATTGCTATCGTTGGTCCTCACGAAGCTCTGCGAGACGCCGTTAGACGTTTTCGAGAAATTGGGTCCTACTATAGAAGGACCGGTTCTGTACGCCCTAGGGTAACAGAACCACAGGATGACCGCTTTCGAGAATTTTGCGAAACTGGTACTTCACTGTTTTCAACCGATTCAGTAGCCCCAGGAAGTTCGAGGGGTTCAAATGTCTTAATGGCTTTTCGCCCCGCAAGAGGACCAGAATTGATCAGACACTGAGTTGCATGGTCGCATTTGTTCGAAAACAGCCATTGGTCTTTTGACGATTGGTATGCTGTCCTTTTTACAGATGTAGATTTGCTCTACGATCTCCTGATGGGCTTGAAAGACTGTGGAGAAAGCCAAATGGCCTGTAATTTTTCCCAGGGCCAACTTTTTCAACCTAGCTCCGTGATGGTATGGGCGGGAATTTCAATGGACAGTCGGACAGAGTTGGTTGTTGTTCGTGGAGGGTCTTTGGAAGGGGCCACTCGCTATTCGGATGAAATGTTGGAACGTCAAGCATTGCCTATCCTCGATGAAATCAGCAACAATCCTATTCTAGTGCACGATTATGCCCGTCAACATGTCGCTCGCATAGAACAAACGTACCTTCAACGACATAATATCAGGGTCTAAGCCTGGCCAGACCGTTCTCCAGACTTGAACCCCATCGAACATATATGGGATAACCTCAAAAGGTGAATAAGAGCACGTCCATCACATCCTGATACACTCCACGATCTTGAAAGGATTCTTCGTCAAGAATGGGCTTACCTCGAGCAAAGAGACATTTCCAGTCTGGTAAAGAGTATGCCGAGGCGTCTTCGAGATGTAATTAAGGTAAAAGGAGGAAATACGCGATATCGAAATGCTAATTAAAAACCTAAAACAAAATTAAAACAAATTTTATCTGTCTTTTATCTTTTTTTATTATGTTTTAATTTTTCATTTTCCTTAGAAATTTACTTTTTTTTACCTTTTCAGACAAAGACGCAATTTTTCAAAATTTAAAAACGTGAAACTTTGATTAATATATAAAAATATATACAAATCAAATTATATTACAAGTGGGGGAAATTTTTTGCCTGTCAGTGTATATTATATATTATATACTTCTTTTAATGGTCTTACGAGCTTGCATATTAATCAGAGTACGATTACGTTGATTATTTCATCATATATAGTTGGGGGGGGTTGCTTAATAAAAGGATGCCAGGGGCGACTGTGGGAATCGAACCCTCGACCGCGGGGTCAACTAGCCGAGAGTCTATCACGCTCGACGACAGCGGTCCTGTTAAAATAGTAAAACCACCGCGGTTCCCTGAAATCTCATCATTTATGTTTATAGTGATTACCGTTCGAAAATAATGAACCAATCAGAAAACTGACTGTATTGTGGCCGATAGCTGGTTCATACGTTTACCAAGTGAAAATCTCTAAGACAGAAAAAAAAAGCCTAGTGAATTAGTTTCACAAATAGTATACTAATCAAACTAGACGTCCGGGGTGAACCAGAGGAAATAAAATTAATAAATAAATGTGGGCTTTTTGGCAAAAGAATTGGGGGCGGATACATTGTGGAACTGTGCGGCGGAAAGGGGGAACGTGTAATGAAATGGTGTTGTATGTTGCCTCCCCCGTCCCGTTGCGTTGTTAGGCCTGGATCTAAGTTATGTGAGGGTTGGTGGCCTCTCTTTCTGACTTTGTCCTCCCTCTCACTCGGCCTCCTCGTCCCGCCCAAGGGGACTTAATCACATTCTCTCCCTCGACCGCATCCCGTGCTCCGAGAGTTCGCGCCTTGTTTAACTGTGCAAACAGAAACGACGGGCCAGACAGATGTCACCGACGCAGCCAACTTCATAGAGATCAAACAGCAGATCGATCAGCTTATTATTCTTCTCGAGAGAGCCAAAAACTGGCTACCTCAAAGTTGTTTTATTCTACCTTCGTCGCGGCGTCACGAGTATACTAAACCGCTTGACGGCTCATCGTTCCCGGTTTAAAGGAACATTGCGCCGTATTTTTCATCATTTCGCCACCCTTGCGCCATTTTATTATCTTTTCGCTTGTTGCTATATTCAATGCAGACGACGAATTTATTAAGCGTTTTTTTGATAAGGCAGCTTATTAAACAATGGGAGGGAATTTGTAAGTAATACAATTTACCGGAACGGAAAATAAGAATTTACGTGTTTGTGCTGTTACAATGCGTGCAACATTTTTAAAATTGTCTGTCTAAATAAACCACTAAATATAAACAGTCGCATCCTCGTTTTTTTGTGATATTTCGAGCTTCAACACTACACTAGTAAAAGCATTTCGGTCTATCGATACGAAAATTCAAAAAATATTTTCTTTTTTATATACCTACGGACACACACACAAAAATTAAACTGAACGCTTAAGTTTAAATGTGACAATTGTTGAAAAAGATTAGACGGCTGATACAAAAGTCATATCAGAAATATTTTTTTAAATCACCTGACCTAGATGAAAATAAAGATTGACTCATTTACTTCCAAATTTTACTATAAGATAATACTGACGATATTAATGATTTGATTTAATTGAATTCCATGATTAAAAAAAACATGCAAGTTAAATACAATGACTTTTAAAAAGACAGTACTTTAGTGAAACTAAAACATTCACTGTATTTTCCATGAGCCTATTCTGGGTTTTTTCCCTTGGAATGAAAAACCGACATTCCAATTGCTAGGATCCGGAGAGCAGGCTTCCCAGTGCTTTTTCAACGGACGGTGTAATATTTCAGATCTGGAACGTTTTTTGATGCAGAAACACATCCACACATGATTCTGGGATGCACTGGAGGTTCTTCGGCTATCCGGTTTCTTCTTCGGCGAAAAACACCAGCTTGTTAACCAGCTACAGAAGCCCTTATTCGCTGGAACCTTTTCTTCGGATTTCTTTAGCTGTTTTTCCGATTCTGGGATCGGATGGTTTGTGGATTCATTGGGCGGATCCGGACCGTGAAATTCTAAAGGGTGTTTGTTCGATGTTACAGGTTGGTTCGTTGAATCTACATGTACTGACATTTTCACGTACTCTTCAAGCAAACTCATCGCCAAAAATACCGTAAGTACCACTACTACGATTATTATTGTTATCAGCGTACAACTATTTTACTGGTGAGATCCACAGTCTAGTTCGATTGTGTTATTCTTCCTCGAATTATGACAGAAGCAAGCTTATCAGAGGATATCCTGAAAGTCGAGTTTTCAAGTATCGTTGTATTTATTTGCCTTCTTTTACAGACAGTTAAACGTCATAACCAATCGACGAGAAACGAGCGCCGTCGATTATACTCTGCGCAACAATAAATGGGTGCTTCTCACCTTTCTCTGTATTAACGAATTATACGTCCCGATCGGCAAATAATTACGTACGTACGTGAATACGATATTCGTGATGTTTTTTCCATTGTTTTTACAACGTATAGAAGGAACATCTAAGCGCCCAAAAGTAAGAATACATAAGTACAGCCAACAAAGAAGTGATTCAGACGTGCTTTCGGTATCTTGAAAATTGTGTGCTCGTTAAACAAACTTTAAATAAAATCTTATCATCTGGTTTAATATCTTTTTCAGCTGCGTTTTTCTTAGAAATATTTATTCGATCGTGTAAATTATGTATAAAAGAGCTTCTTGGACTCCTTCTGAGGAAGAGTCACCCCTTTTATCCTGAACCTTTTAACTTGATTCTTTTTCACTAAGCCCTTGCCGGTCGTCCGCTTGTGTAAGAAGTTTCAATAAAATATTTCCTTTTAGTAGTGGGGTGGGACCGTTGAGAAATGAAAGATTAAAAACAGAATCCACTTCCGTTCAGAATCCAATAACAGCATTGAAAGGTCGATTGATTCCATTTCCGATCCAAGGTGTTCATTGTAAATTAATTGTGTAAAAACAGAACCGAGGTACTACGTCAATCAACAACTTTTCACCAACTGTCGAAATTTTCGTTTTCGGTTTTTTTCTTACTCCTAAGTTTTCACAAATGGTAAAATATTACAAAAAAAATTAACGATTTTTTTAAAAAATAAGTACACTTTTGTAGACTGAGAAAACATCATGAAACACCTCGGCTTTTCTTTTCTGGCGTTGAAATAAAGGAGGTCGCCGTTGTATTTAGGCGTTTCTTTTGACAAGGCCTTCGATGGAACCTCAAATTGACTAATTCAGGAAGGAAAATGCTAGGTCTGATGTAATTCCTCGCTAATAATTTCATATTTAGGACGTATATTAAAAATAGTTACTTTTTGATTGAATAATGAATTTTTACTTATTACTGATTTTCTATTTTATGCATTGGAGAAATCGACTAAAGTGAAGTGTTGGAACTTTTCAATGTAACAAAAATTTAAATAAAAAAATACTCCGAATGTCATAACCATACGTGCAGAATGGAAGGGTTGATTTGTAAAGCGGCTAAAAAGATTTTAGTTGTAAAGCACATCTAATTTTTCGAATGCATTGTGAACAGTTATCAACTTCTAAAAGTGAAGTAATGCTTTGGCGGTTTTAACAAGGCAGTCTCACGGCTTTTGTCTTCGTAGTCGACAAAAGAACGACGACGGAACCCTTTGGATCTGTCAAGTCCCATAGTCGTTTTCTAAGACAAAACCACGGACGTGAATGAAATGCCGAGGAAGGAAATCCTACGGCTTTGTTAATTAGCCGTCATACTATGTTATTCACACCCGTAAAAGGCAACGTCGAATTTCGGATACTGTGACTCCCGGCCAAGGGACTACGGGCAAAAAAGCTCACGACACCCGTTAATTTGGAGACCGCCAACCGAGTAAGTCGTCAATTATCGCTTCTTACGATCCGGTAACAAAAATGTTCTTGGGCAATTCAGTTCCAATAGTATTATTGTTCCACCATCATTAATACCCGGTTTACAAACGACGTAATGTCGCTTTTAAATCCCATCGACAACCGTTCCGCGATTTCGGCCGAAAAGCGATAATTATATCGTTCGAATTTTCAATAAATACCGTCCTAAAGCGAACAATACGTTGATTTCAAAACCTACATTGGTCGATGGCCGAGAAATGGTTTTTCTACGATAGGTTATCGCATATGTTTGTGGTCAACATCAACTCCGTTCCCCTTTAATTCTTATCATAACAGTTTTATGTTTGATGTCACTATGTCTGATTGTCATCGGGCCAGTCCATTGAGGCTCACCATTGGGTTTTTCATGTCAATTGTTTTGTTTTTTGATAATAACGATTTTTACTTCCTATTCCCTAGCCAGGGAAGAAACGAGAGAAAAAAAGTTGTGCAACACAATGTTGGCTTTTCGGGATTTTATAACTTGATTAAAATTTTAAATTTAAAAATTAAAAATTAAAAATAGAACTACAGAAAATTGGCGGCGTTAATACAGTCAACAGAAAAAAGACTGAAAACTATGTTCCCACGGATTTTGACTATGTCTTAGTTTGCCAATATTCCCACAAGAAAATCCGCATGCAGAATAATGGCCAGAATCCAATTACGGAATATGCAAGTCATATCTCAAAAAGATGAAGCCAGAACAAGGCGACAGACGCATATGTGTTAGTGACAAAACTCTGTAACACATCGTTATGATGTGTGCACTTCATGTACCGGAACGAAGGAAAATGATAAACGATATTAAAAAGAAAAAAACCGATACGGTGACATATACAAATATCCTAAGTTCCGGATATGTCGATGGAGGACTGGAACTGTGTAAGTACTTCCTAATAGTGATAAGGGAAAGAATATGGTTGGAGATTTGTAAATTAGTACTATTAACTATTATAATTGTTTCACAGATGTAAAAGTCTTTTCTTGTCCCTCATGTATTTTTTAGTTGGTCCTCAGTAGGTGTTGTGATTTTTATTGAAGAAAACTGGTAAACTTGCTGTTAAGCAAGTTAACAGTTCACACTAAAGAATTTACTTTGTTTATCCATAAAGGCATAGTTTCCGACATAGAAAAACCGCACATAACGTACTACAGAAATCAACTGAAACATAGCCACAACTAATTGAAAACTAATACGCCTTGTATTGTATATAAACAAATAGATAAAACAACATTAAAACTGTTGTTGTCATTTATTAATTAATTCTTCCTATAGTTCCTAACCGATGCCGAAAGCCTTTGAGTAATTCAACAAATATTTATTTTCTACTCCTAAATTTTTTAATTCTCTTTTATTCGCTAATTACACAAATAACATAAAGCAAAATAGGCAGGGTTTGTCGACTCAAGTTTTTAAATAAATATCTTTATTATTTCGTAAAGATGTTGAAGGCAGATGTATCGACAAGAAAGCAACGACCTTAATTAAAAAGAAAAAATTGGGAATGATAATTCAATGAGCTACCCTCCACGTGCAGATCAAAGGGCCACGGCAAAAGTAAAGAAATCTTGTTATTCCCTTACATTCTCTACATATTTTATCAAATCTGACGTGAGTTAAAAGGCAACGTCGGATGGAAGGGGCGTTGAAATCTTGGACCCTTTTAGTCTGAAATTGTCGGTATATTTGTGCGGGTTTTTTTAAACGCCGTCTTTGAGGCCGGCCGGAAGACGAGCTTTCACAACAGCTCTCTTAACCGACATGAGATTTTTCCTCTTGAAAAGCAAGTTGACATCGGGAGAGAAAAACATCGCGTAACACATCATCGCAATTTATTGAAATCCTTTTTAATCTTTCGTTTCCGAACACTGAACGGTGAAATGTTGACAAAATTGTGTAAAGGTCTCGGCCATACTCCACGCGAACTTGACACAGGTTATATCTTCAGATACGAGTGTGAATTTCTTGTCAGCAAAGAAACAAACGTACGGAGAAATTCGCCGATAAATTTCACCCTTTCACCGTAGCGAAAACTTATTGGGATCAGACGTGAATTTCCTGCTGGTTGAAGGGTGGATTTATCTCGTGGATCTTATTGCCGCCTCGCAGTGATTAATAGACTATCCGGAAGGAAATCTCCGTCAACGACTCCCAAGCTTTTATTTTCAGAAAAACAGTCAGGCTAGCCTCTAAGTCCTTTTTTCATCTATTTACTGTGTGGTTTTAAAAAATGACAATTAACATAGATATTAGATGTTAGATTTTAGATATTATATGTTAAATGTTCTATATTAGATGTTTGATATTAGATATTAGATAGTATATGCTAGATGTTATATATTAGATGTTGTTAGATGATAGATGTTCGATATTAGATGTTTGGTATTAGGTATTAGATACCCAGTATCATCCAAACCTAAGTTCATCGAGGAATGTACCCAATTCATTTTGGACAAAGGGTAAAAAAAAAGGATATACATAGTTTCATGTCAGATAGCCAAGCAGCCATCAAAGCACTAAGCTTAAACATCATTAGCTCAAAGGTGTTGCTGAATTGCAGAACTAAACTAAACGGTTTAAGTATGCAAAACATAGTCACCGTTTGCTCGGTCTCATGACATGTGGGAGTAGAAAGCAACGAGAAAGCGGACTACCTGCAAGAAATGGGTAAAGATAAGAAACAGCTGATCCGGGCCCTTCTCCGGTATAGAAATTCACACTTTTAATGCATTTTTAAATATATGCATTATNATATATATATACAATATTATGTATGCATACATACTTTTATATATATAAAGTATACTTTACTTTATATAATTTGGATTCGATTGTGCGATGCCTTGTTGAGACCTCTGGTTTTATATAGATTGGATATTTCATGACTGTTGCATTACCAATACTGGTGAGTACAGTTGACAGACAAAACCGGCGAGAATACGAACAACTTCCATTAGCTTTTTACAGTTATCATCGTTACCGCTTGATGAATGTTAAAATAGATGGGCCAATCATTAAACAGGGCTTGTTAACTGAAGGTGCTTTCTTTTGACGCACATGCTTTTGGCAGTCGAATCGGTCTCATAATAAACCAATAATCCATTTTTTCAAACACAATCGGGCTAACCGGCGCGCATTTTTCAGTTGTGATCTGGCTCGTTACTGAGTTTCGCCGTACGAGTTACCCCTTGATTTGAATCCGAGCCATCCATAAAACATGAACCCCCACAAACTGTCGTCCGGTCACCCTCTCGTCTCCTCCATGTATTACCCCAGTGTTTTTTCCGAAAGGAACATTTTTTCCTCGGGCTTTATATCAGATCGGTTATAAAAAGGAGGACCCTAACAACATCACAAGTAACTCCTGCCAAATATATAACCGCCTGACGACTGCTGCATTCGTCTTAGATGTAGCATAAAATCTTAGATTAACAGTCTCGTTTAATTTATGTTTGTTTAGCTTGGACAGCAACAAACTGTATGAGAAGAAAAGCACCTTCCACAATGAAGAGTTTTTTTTATAAAAGAAAACCGTAGAAATTTTGATCTGGTCTGGTACTAACTTTTTCTTCGAAATTGTATTACCAATCAATCCACATTACAAAAATTTCCCTTCGTGTAAAGCATATTTTAAAGAATTTATTACGATGAATGATTAAATTTGTTGTATTTTTGAGTAATTTTGTCATGAGTCATAATAGTTTTCCCTTTCTCTCATGGAGTCTGGTTGTGAACCGTTTCGGCGCGGCTTAATAAGAAATAATAAGTGGCAAAACTACGTTATCGTGGAGTTTTAAGGCGGTTTGCGGTGTAGGAGGGTTGGGTTCTCTATTCTCCCAGTTAGGACAATTCTCTCCGGTTTCATTATCATCCGGTAATTAAGGGTATACACGAGAGACTGGTTGGTTGGTTGCGTTACAAAGTTTTGCCCCCTCGTCTCCCTCGACATTAGCCCTGTGTCCTCCCATAGACCATATTTACCACCAGATATGTTGAAAGTTGGACGACATCTGGTTTTGATCACTTTAAAACTCCTTTAACAGCAGCGGTGCTTGGCGCGTGAGAATAATAAGTAATAACAATATACAAAATCTACCACTTTAGGCTTATTAGATTTCGAAATCGACTTGATAAATAATTTATTATCGTGGGGTTTGTTTCTGAGGCTATAATTTTAATGTAACACAGTGCGACGTACTGTCGCGAGACTTGTGCTAACTGGTTTGGGGTGAGTTTAACGAAATTACTATTTGAAAGTTTATAGTATTAATTTTACTATTAGGTCACATATAGTGAAACAGCCTCGATTTCATGATATAGCCGCGGCCTCTTCTATCAGCCGATTATCGCACACGGGTTCCACAAGGAAATATCTTAGGACCCATGCTCTACAGTTTATACCG